CCTGCCTATGTCCACATTTCCAGATTCTTATTGGTAATGAAAGGGCTCTAGAATCACTTTCCTTCCTTCCTTCCCCTGCTCATCCAGAGGGTTTTTGCTCTGTTTCCTCTGAATTAAGCTATCAGTGTTGTTCATCACTCTTTGTTTAGGAAGTTTCAGCCTGTGGCCGTGAAGGCAATTCAAGGCCATAGACACGTACTAGAATGTCTCCTGGACATTGGTCTGATTGTGAAAAGCGTCTGGGGACGGGAGGAATAGCTGACCAAGCTGGCTTGGCCAACTGGGGACTGGCATCCTGTCCTGGAGAAGCAAGAGTGGGGCAAGAGGTTGGGTTGGGCTCCTGCACTTCTGGAATAGCATGCTTGCTCCAAGGGTTATGGTAGATCACCCGCCCCACTGTTTCCTTCTGCTTTGGGGATGCTTCTCTAATGTTAGGTGATGGGTGAGGATGCTGTGGCTCCTGGGGTTCAGACGTGGGTTGTGGCATCTGTTCATCTGTAACTGGTGGCTAATGAGACAAAAGATACAGAAAAGTGGATTAGGGCAGGAGTCCTCAACCCCTGGTCCATGGACCAGTCCGCAGGATACTAGCAACCAGGGCACCCAAATGAGGGAAGCCCCATCCGTGGGATGCATGCAGCAGGCAAAACCACATCCCCTCCGCTCCATGGAAAAACCTCTCTCCAAACAACCGGTCCCTGGTGCCCAAACCGTTGGGGGCCACTGGCTTAGGCGGTCGACCACATGGGGATTATAGATACTGTATATTGTGCTTACTTGTTTTTGTGAAATGTTCAAGGCAGCTGCATTCTAACATGTGCCCTCTGAGCAGGAAGGGAGACCTTTCCAATAGTACTTCCTCACAGGTAGACTTCAATTACTCTCAGCCTTACCAGGTAAACTCAACCAGATGAGCTAATTCTATTTTATTTCCCTACTTCTAAGGCTACATCACAGAATTAAAAGAATACCAAGTTCTTTCCCACATACCATTACAGCTACCTGTGAACATGTTTGTCTACTTATTCAATTGTAGAGTGGGGGGAGTGGGGAGTTGTTCAATAGTTTCTACTTCATTTAATGTATTTATTGTGGTTTTTTAAAAAGTTTTTAGTTGCCTCATTGCAGAGGCTTTTTGCGGACTCTAAAATTGGAATATAACAAAGAGCACTATTAAAAAGTAATTAACAATCCCCTTCTGACGCAGATCTTACTCTGCCTGCTTAATCCAGCCAGTCAATGAGGTTTAAATAGTAATTTGTTCTCCAACCCAGGAACGAATGTTTTCTGCAGATGATAGGTGACTTACCAGATGTTGGAAGAGTTTGCATTTTACGTAGACATTTTTCTTGTTTTCTATCTGATTTTCTACCACAGAGCCTCTACACAGACATTTTGCCTAGAGCAAAAGAGAAAATGTTTATCATCAACAACAAAAATGTTAACCTACTCAGATTTTCTAATATACTGAAAGGATCCGTCAAGGATTAGAGCATACACAGAGTGTAACCTTATTCAGCTTTTGTTAAATAGCTATTGAGAGAAGCTCCATTGTAACCTAACCTGCCAACTGTATGGATCCGTGACGGCAAACCTATGGCACACAGAGCCATTTGTCAGGGTACGCGAGGTGCTGCCCTGTCAGCTGGCTATCGCGCATGCGCATGATGGCCAGCTGACTTCGGCCTTCTTTTGATGCCATTTTTCGCCTTCCGTACGGGGAACTTGGAAGTTCAGGAACATACTTCCGGTTTGCTCATAGGGCTGGTTTTAGCCCTCTGGAGCATCCATGTGCCTTCAGGAGGCTTCCCTGAAGGCTCCAAAGGGCAAAAAACGACCCTACAAGCAAACCGGAATTCACTTACATATAAAGTTGCATATAATCTGCTTAGCATATTAGAGGAATCTTATTTATACAATAAATATACCTCTCGTTAATATGACAGAAGCAGCCTTCAGCCTTCCAGAATGCAATGGCCAAATTAATAGCATACAGCATGGCATAATATAATGCCTTCATTTATCCAATGAACTTAAGATAATGTCTGTGTTCCCACATACTGTCCAGTCTCATTTTAAGCCAGTCTAAATTTTGTATAAATTTAGCCACTGAGTCAGGCAGACACTGATGAATACAGAATAAGTTTTTATGCAAGATGGGTGAATACTTACTGCAGTTTCAGTGGGGAGGAAAGGACATTGAGTGATGTCCGAGAAAGGTGGATTTTTGGGACAAGAAGTCTCCTGGATGGTGTATTCCACATGGTTGGAAGGACCAACAACCCACTGTGAAAAGTCATAGACGAAGAGTTAGAATGGGTCATATTGTCTGCAGGAAGTGCCCCTCCTAATCTTAGGTAACCTGCCAATCTTTATCAGCCTGATGCCCTCCAGAATGGACCCCATAATTCTCAGCACTGGGCCCTAGAGAACATCAGATTCCTGCAGACTTTCTGAACCTGTCAGTGCACTTTCTTTGGTAATAATGTAGAAGTCAACTGTCTTCTTCTGGGATTTTTTTTTAAATTTCTAAATTAAAAAAATTAAAAAATTAAAACATGTAATTATTAATTATAAAATAATAATTTTACTTATTATTTTTAATTTCTGAGTTTAGCCTAAAAGCCCTGTCTTTTGTGGCACTCTTCATACAAATCATAACTGCAATGACTTTCTGGCTAAAAAATGCTCCTTTTCAACTTTACCAGTGAATAGGCTTTGGTGACATTGAGAATGGCAAAATAATTGTTGTCTTCATTTTCAGCATTGAATTTGGCCAGTGTCTCCAATGCTGTTTGCTGATAAATGTCTTCAGAAGGATCTAAAGGTATTGGACAGTCAGGACAAACATCCACAATAGCTGAACCAGAAACTTTAGAAAAGCAAAAAGAGACATTTAATAAGGTAAGACAAGACATTCGGATTTGAGCTTGTACATTTAAATGAACTGAAATACGGAAAGCTTGGATCAGCTTGAAAATTAAGCTTCTCTATCAAATCTAATCAGGGTCCTAGTTATGTTATTTAGCAACCTGACACAACATAATAGCAGAGAAGCAATGAAGTTGGTCATTGAGAGGGGCACAAATCTGATGGCAACAACCATTATAAGAGAACGGCTGTAGGCCAGAGTTGGACTATGGAATCCTTGGTGCTCTCTGAGCTTGGTGGTTTTCGGAATGGGACAATTTGCCACAGCCAACCCTCTGCAGACAACTCACCATGGCCAACCCTCCATTGGATGATTTGCCATGGCTAACTCGACAACTCGCTGCAGGAGAATTTAACAGTCCCATTTAATTATTTAAAATAAGTCTTAAAAGAATAGTTCCTGCCATTCACATTTCATTCTGTCCCTCGTTTTGCATCCGTCCTTTATTTATTCTACTCTACTATTTCTCTGCTGTTAGTACAACACTTGTCCCGCAGTGAATTGTCCTTTGGTGAGTTGACTGTGATGAGTTTTCTGGCAGGGCGTTGACAGGGGCAAGTTCGCAGTGGCAAGTTGGCTACGGAGAATTGTCATAGACCAGGGTTGTCAAACTCAAAGCCTTGGGGGGCCGGATCTGGCCTGCGAGGTACTTAGATCTGGCCCGTGGAGCCAACCTGGAAGCAGCAAAGGACTGGTCCACGGTGCTTCTGCCAGTGCAAACAGAGCTCCATTTTTTCTGTCAGAGGTTGCCGAAGGCTGTGGAAGCTGAAAACGGGACTCGGGAGCCTGTTTTTGCTGCCAGAGCTCTTGGACCATCACAGGTTCTCCCGATATGAGTGACATCGAGCTGGCCACACCCACCCTGGCCATGCCCACCCCAGCCCTCAAACACAACTCTGATGCGTCACTCAATGAAATCAAGTTTGACCCCACTGTCGTAGACTCCGATGGTTTTGCTTGTAGATGATTCATTACCCAAGGCCTCCTCTACCTCCTTATATCAATCAAGATTATAATCTCCCCCCCCCCAAAAAAAAAACCAAATTCATTTTGGATTTTCTTCTTCTTCTGTTTAATTGTGTCTGATTCCTGGAGACTGCCTGGACAAGTCACTGCAAAATACCCCGAAGAATAAAACGTGGCTTTAAAATTTAATTTGGGGGCTTTTGCATCTGCTTTTTCATTTTCTGTAGTGAAATCTTTAAAACTGCAATTGGGAGATATCTGTGCTTGGATAGACTTTTCTTGCAAGCCTACGTGGAAAATACATACCTGGTTGAAAACTGCAGTCATAACTGAGCAAATGCCAATCATCTGAATTCCTGTTTAACTCAATTATTATTTTACACTGGCCATACACCTGGAACAAGGGAAGATAGTTTGTTAATGCTGCCCATTTCTTTTACCAATGATTCCATGATACATAATCAAACATTGTAGTTCCCCCACACCAACACACACCTTAGACTCAAGTTTATTTTCCTTCCAAAACGAGGAGAATCAAACTTTCCACATTTCTCACTTTCCATATTTCTACAGCCTACCTCTTTCCTTTATTTTTGTACAATTCCATAGTCTTTTTTGCAGTGCAGAATATATGAGGAATTATTAGAAAGTGCTCATGTTGTGCACCCTAAATGAGCAATTCCTCAGACTCGGTGGAGCAGAGAGAAGATTGAGGAGGGTTGGAGAAATATCCATGGAATGCTTGCATGGAAAGTAAACCACACTCAGTTTTGCTGTAATTTTGAAAGATTTATTTTCATTTACTGTCCTGATGTGTGATTTATTTCACTGGTGAAATTACAAATTTTTCCCTACGGGTTCTGTGGCTTGGTGGGCGTGGCTTGGTGGTCATATGACCAGGTGGGCATGGCTTGGTGGTCATGTGACCGGTTGGGCGTGGCGGCAGAACTGACTCACACACAATGTAAAAGCAGCTGGACTTCGCACAAAAAGGCCCCTGCAACAAGCAGGAACCTCACAGAATCACAGGGAGCTCAAAAACCAACTATCACACTTTACACAAAAAGAACACAAAAGCTACACAAGTGATTCACACACAATGCAAAAGCAGCTGGATTTCATACAAAATGCCCCCTGCAACAAGCAGGAACCTCACAGACAATCAGGCACAGCTGATTGTCATACAGCTGATCCTCAGAACTTTTCTTTTTAACCCTTTATAGCATTTTTTTTACTACCGGTTCGGGTGAACGGTAGCATTTTTTACTAGTGGTTCGGGTGGACCGGCCCAAACCGGTAGTAAAGTCTCTGCTTTAGACCAAACTCAAAGTTCCAAAGGCCAAAAGTATTGTTGTGGAAAATTAGTATACTTTTAGGAGGATTTAGAGAAATGGCAAAATGTCAGAAAAAGGCAAGTAGAATACTCCTGAAATCAAGACCTTGAAGGAGATGTGAATGTTTTGTTTGACAAAATACTTGGGGGGGAGGGGCAAGCACATCTTTGGTACCATAAAGGGGGTCACTTTGAAGAAGACCAAGAACTGACTCCTCTCCTTCCAGAGTGCAGAAATGGAAGGACCAGTTTAAGTTGCAGGAATGGGATTCCAACTGGATATTAGGAAACCCTTCCCCAGTGTGAGAGCAATGGGACAGTTGGTCTGCTAAGAGAAATCAGATCTTCCTGTCCTTGAATAGTTTTACCAGCTGGTTTGAGGGCCCTCAGTCAGGAAGACTTTCTGTTGAGTTCCTGCAATAAGTGGAGGCTGGATCCATTTGTCTCCCTCTCTTCCACTGCTGAGATTCTTTGAATTTTTTTTAAATTTTTTTTCTCTATATACAATTATAGGTATTCATTCACATAGTTATTATTCTTTTTTTATCTTCATCCTTCTTATGCATTTGTCATTCCATTTACAGGGTTATAACATACCATTTGGTTTGCTGTTTACCATCCCTCGCCTGTTTTGACACCACCTTCTTTTCCCTTTCTTTTCTCCCTCCCTCCCTTCTCTACCTCCTTCCTTCCTCTCTCCTTTCCCTTCTTTCTTCTCTTCCCTCTCCCCTACTCCTCTCTTTCTCTTCCCCTTCCTACCCTCTCTCCTTCTCCCTTCCATCTTCCTCTCCTCACCTCTATCCTCCTTCCCTTTTTTTTCCTCTCACCTCTTCTCCTCCTCTCTTCCTTTCTTTTTCTATTGTTGTAGGTGTCTCTTCCAGTTTTTCATTTTTATTTTCTTCCGGTGGTATTTCCGAAAACCCAAAAATAGTTAAATATCATTTCTTGTTCCCTTTCCTCCTCAAATCTATCCTATATGTTTTTCCCCTTTGTATTTTACTTTTGAATATATACTTATATATTGTTATTTTCTTCCCTATTTCCCCCCTTTTTCTATTTAATGGTGTGTCGTCTGGGTTCCATATCTTCCCCTTACTTTCTTTTCTGTATGTGTTTCTGTAACTATTTATAAAATCTTCCCCATGTCTTGAAGTACACCGATTCCTCTTTATCCTTTATTTTCAAAGTGAATCTATTCATCTCTGCAGAGTCTAGAATATTTTTTATTATCTCTTCTTTTGTTGGTACCTTATTTAATTTCCAATTTTAAGCAAATACAATTCTCACTGCTGTAGTTACATGTATAATCAAATAGTTGTCTTTTTTCTTATATTTCTCTGGGAGGATACCCAATAAGAATGTCTCTGATCTGGGCTCTATCTTTTGTTGTAATATTTCCTCTAACCATGTTCTTATTTTAGTCCAGTGACATGCAGTCAGGGGAGGCAGGGGAGGCAAAGCCTCACCACTGTTATCATGAAAAGAAAAAAAA